TAAAATCTTTAAAACAAAACAAAACAAACCTTAAAAAAAAAAAGAACTAAATCTCTAAGGACACCACCTATAAGCTTTTGACCTTGGGGGCAGGGTGGGGTGGGTTGGGGAGGGGGGTGGTCAGTATTTTCTTTTAGAACTTCTGGGTTTCAAGCCATATAAAAATATTCTAACTTGAAATCAAGATCCTAAACAACTGAAAATCTCAACGTCAGAAAAACAGAAACCTGGACTGCATTATTGTCCAGAAAACCAGGAATCCCATGGTGTATCGCTTCTCGGCCTTTTGGCTAAGATCAAGTTTAGGAATCCCATGCTATGACACTCTGCTTGCCTCGGGCCGGGGCAGCCATGTGCGTGGCTTATAGGAGACTGAGCCACCCGGACTCTGTGGAAAGGAAACCCCTCCTCAAAGTCATACAGAGGCATGGTTTATAATCACACAGTAAGCAGCCAGCAGAATGTTCCTACTGGGTATCAGAGAAGCTGACAAGAATGGAGATAAGAGCAGAAGACAAAGAAAGGAGAATAATAAAAAACCTCCGAAATCATCACAATGACTATAGATGTCCTACCAATTTTCCATTTACCGTGTGAGGAACAGATCCACCCTGTACACCCCACCCCCCAAAAAGTACATTTTAATCAGGGCACCTGGGTGGCTCAATGGGTTAAAGCCTCTGCCTTCAGCTCAGGTCATGATCTCGGGATCCTGGGATCGAGCCCGGCACTGGGCTCCCTGCTTAGCGGGGAGCCTGCTTCCCCCTCTCTCTCTGCCTGCTTCTCTGCCTATTTGTGATCTCTATCAAGTAAATAAATAAATAAATAAATCTTTGAAAAAAAAAAAAAAAGTTCATTTTAAGGCTTTTCAGAGGCTCTTCTCACAGCATCTGAATCACTTAACGTAACTTAGCCAAACTGGAAACTTACACGGACTTACTACCACTATCAGATCACAGGATGGTTTGGTATTGCTTTTCCTCTCTAAAAACAGGTGATCTCATTTTCTCATAATATTCACCTTCTGCTGAGAATTATAGCGGATGAATGCAGAGTTCAGGTAGAAGCTGTTCATCACCAATAAAACTGCTTGGTGATGAGCGGGACACTCACCCTGACATCGGCTTACGGCAGTTAAACATGAGAGCTCTACGCGAAAATGTCTGGTGAGGTCACTGAGAACCAAAGAATTAGAATTTACCCTGGGAATGCAAAGGTGAATTAACACTAGACTACCTTAGAAAATCTGTTATTGTAATTTATCTCATGAACAAGTTCAAGCAGAGAAGCATCATGATCACATAAAAACTATTCTAAGATCATAGCTGAGGTCTCAGATCTACAGTAGGTGTAGAACAATTCAATCTCCAACCTTTTTAAAAAAAAAAAAAAGCAAGCAAAATACTTGTATCACTCAATAAAAGGTACACAACAAAATGCCTACAACAGGCATCCTTGATAGAATGTTGAAGGTGCTCCCTTTAAACAAGGCAAACATCTATCTGGACAGCAGGGTAAAGCAGACAGGGGCCTGCCCACGGTCACAGACTGAACCATTAGCTAAGTCAGGATGACCTAAGCTTTCCACCTGCCAATCCACCACCTTCCTTTCCTTCATGATGGTTTTGTGCTGAATGTGTTCCTGCTTCTTTGGGGGCACGAGTCCCTTACACCTTATAAACTTGAATTCATGGCTGCTGGTGCATTCGTCAATATTCTGCTTTGGGGCTTCTACAGTAAGCTTCCAGTCAGCCTAGGAAGTCTGGGTTTTTATCTTTCTGAAGGTAACAGAAAAGGACATAAAGATTAGCACAGGTTCCAACTCTACTGATCAGATCTGCACACATAAGACAGCACAAAATTAGGGGCCCCTGGGTAACTCAATCAGTTAGGCGTCTGCTTTTAGCTTGGGTCATGATCTCAGGGTCTTGGGATCGAGTCCCGCATCAGGCTCTCTGTTCAGAGGGGAGCCTGCTTCTCCTTCTCCTTCTGTATCTCCCTGGCTCATGCTCTCACTCTTAGATAAAGAAATAAAATCTTTTAAAGGGGGGGGGGGGCGCCTGGTTGGCTCAGTCCTGGTCCTGCCTCAGGCTCAGGTCATGGTCCCAGGATCCTGGGATTGAGCCCCACATCAGGCTCCCTGTTCGGCAGGGAGTGTGCTTCTCCTTCTGCCTCTGCCTGCTGCTTGGCCTACTTGTGCTCTCTATCACTCCCTGTCAAATAAATAAATAAAATCTTAAGAAAAAAAGATGGCACAAAATTACAGACCTAGGATCTCAAAATATGTAAAAGACACTCTGTGTGACACGGTGCTTCACACGCTCTTACCTCAGAATACCAGTTAGAGCCTCTATCACCCTACTGACAAATGTCAGCAAGTAATATAAAAATACGTAATATATGATTATAAAATTAACAGTTTGATTTAAAACATGTATGCTGTTCCTAGTACTCCACAGAGAATGCAAACCTTTTTTCTTTTTCTTCAAGTAAGACTTAGCTTATCCCAGAAAATTGTAAACTGTGTTGTCTTCATGTAGCTAAAGCTACAATAAAGGGCAAATTCGTACCTTTAAATGCTTTCATTATCAACCAAGAAATGACAGACTTAAACAGAGAATTTTACTCAAAATACTAAGGATGAATAATGAATGAAAGGATGAATAGAGATAAAAGTTGAAACAAATTAATCAAACAGATTAACAGTAGAATTAACAGTAGAACACTAGATAAACTAATCCAGCCCAGTCTTTGTATTCAAGGAATGTGGAGTGACATGCTTTATCCTTCTGAATAAGAAGATTATTAATATTTTAATTATGTTGATACAAGTCTGTACGCTTGCCCAAATGTGCATTCACTGGGAAAACATCCAAAAAGACATATAGCAAAATGCTAGCAGCATTTTTCTCCAAGTGGTGTCGTTAAAGGTAACATTAATTTTCTTCTTCATGTGTTTCTGTAGTTTCTAAACCTTCTGTGATGAATATATAATTTCATGATCAGAAAAAGTGAAGCTACTGTCTTGAGATACTAGATGATATTTCTTGGTGACATGTACATTTAACGTAATGTCAATCAAAATACAAAGAGACCAAGGAAGGACCGAGGGGGGACTTTAAGAAGGTCACCCAGGAGATCGAGCTTTTCGCAACAGTGATGGTGGGAAACATTCCACAGACCCCAAAACTTAGTGTAAAGCTACCAATTACCAATTTAAACTTCAATTAGGCAGCTGGCTAGTACCTTCTAATGGGACTGCTTCCATACTTCCAATAAGATTCTGTAAATTTAGAACACCAACAATGATTAAAACAAAACAACTCCTAACACCACCTACCACTCAGATCGCCACACGGCCCAATGCCAGGATCAAGTTGCAACAGACTAATCTGAAGGCAGATGAAGCCATAGAGAAAAATCCCCTGTGAGCTCATGGCACAACTTGTCTCTTAAAACAGTGACAACCCTGTGCTAAGGTGGGAAGTGGCTTCAACCTCTCTCACCTGGGGAGCCTGAACATCACAGCCCCAGAGCCTGGAGGGAACAGGAAACAGGAAGCCACCTGTCCGTACCTTCCCAGCACCACTGTGAGCCAGCAGAATATTAAGAGTTACCAGCAATCTTCATCATGTAACCAAGTTCCAGAACGGTCAAAGGATTATTTTTATTTATTTTATTTTATTTTTCATTTTATTTTTTTAAAGGATTATTTTTAAAACTGAAATTGTGATCATTTAATTTCACTGTGGGTTGGGGAATCTTTCCCAGCGAAGAAGGAGAGGAGAAAAGAGGCAATGAACTCAGATGTGAATGACCCAGTGACTTGATACCAAGCCCTTGAAAGGGATTTAGGGAAATGAGCACTCTCATGGACCTGCTGGTTGGAACAGATCAGGATGGTATTTCTGGGGGGCAAACTGGCTGAATGTATCGAGTGTCTTTAATATGGTCATATGCGGACACTGTAAGCCAATGTTTAGGAATTTTTCCTAAGGAAATAATCAGATATTTTAAAAAGTCTTTACAACAAAAGACTGGAAAAGAATATAAATGTTCAACAAACAGGTGACCAGAAAATTACATATGAAATGTTTATAGAAGAGACTACTGTCTGGCCGTAAAATCATGTTTCAAAGAATAATGATGAGAATATGCTCAGAAAATATTGAATTAAAAAAAAGAGTATGGACAAGATAAGCCTAAAATTTTTTTGAAGATTCACTTATTTATATTTGAGAGAGAGAAAGAGTGTGTGTGAGCGTGTGTGTGTGCGCTCGCATGCATATGAGCAGGGCTGGGGCGTAGCGGGTGAGGGACGGAAGAAAAAGGAGAGAGGATCCCCAGCAGACTCTCTGCTGAACAGGGAGCTTTATGTGGGGCTTGGTCCCATGACCCTGAGACCGTGATCCGTGCTGAAACAAAACTCCCAACCTACTGAGCCAACCAGGTACCCCTAAAATTTTTTTTTAACTTGCAGGACACACACATACATAAATCTGGGGGAAAAAAAAACACCACAAGCCCCACCAAATTAGTGTTATATTATTACTTGGTAGGAAAATTAGGGATGAGTTTAATTCTCTGTTACCAGCAGCCCAAAGCATGCTAACTGATAGGCCTGGGTTAACTCTCTCTTATTCTGAGCCAGTAAGACTCAGCTTATTTGCCGCCTCTTCCAAGAAGCCCTCCTGCACTACCTTCCTTTGTCCCCAGTTATTCTAGGTGCTCCTCTTTGGCACTGGACTCTGAGCTATTCTGTGATACTCTTTTTCCCTGTGTCGTACTCACTCATTTGATTTACTCTATCCCTGCTACACTTGGAACTGGCCACAGTCAGAAATTGGAGTGTTTCATTTTTATGCCCCCGATCTGTGCGGAAGGGAAAAGACCTTCAGGCTGGGCAGTGGATTCTCTGCACTCTGTGAATCTGAAGTTCAAGGAGGGGAAGGACTAAGAAGGGTGAGCCAACACGGGGACAGAGGTACACCCTGCCTTACCTTGGCCAGCAGGCTCGAAACATGTTTGACTTCACTGTGGGCCTTCACTAACTCTTGCTTGAGCTCGGTGCAAGAAAGCTCCAGCTGCTCCTTCTCTGCGCGAGCGACCCTCAACATCTCTTGAACCTCACGGCCCTCGGCCGTGTGCCCCACGGGGCTGGTCTCTGTAGCCTTCTGCTTCTCGTTCTCCAAATGAGCCTTCAGCGACCCGTGTTCCATCCGCAGCCCTTCGAGCGTGGCTCTGCACTCCTCCAGACTCTGAGCCATCGCGCCGTTATTCCGCCGTTCCAGGTCCAGACACCCATTCAGTTTTTCGTTTTCTTCCTTCAGGTGTTTAATCATGTCTAAAGCGCCTTGGTTTTCCTCCTCAACCTTCCGCAAGCTGCAGGTCAGCTGCTGCTGGATGTTGAGCAGCTTCTCTCTTTCGAAGCGGCCCTGGTCCAGGATTTCGGCACACTTCTGCTCCAGCTCGAGGATCTTTCCCTCCTGCGCCGCGGGCTCCTCGTTCTTCACCCGCTCCTGCAAGAGGTTCAGGAGTTTCTCGTTTTCTTGACTCAGCTGCTCGGCTCTCTCCCGGTGCTGGTGGAAGGATGTTTCTAAGAGCACCTTCTCGTCCACAAGCTTCTCGTTTTCGGCGGTCAGCTCCTGCACCATCTGCTGCTGGTCGGACAGTTCCTGCAAAGTGGCCTGGAGCTCTTCAGCCGTGCTGTGATGCTTCTCCTCAATCTTCTGGATCTTTTCCGTGAGGGAGGCCAGGGACAGCTCGCTTGCGTTGTTAGGGGAACTGCCGCTGGTCGAACACTTGGAGCCCTTAAAGGGGTTGCTGGTGGAGGATAGGGGCTGGGAGGGGGTGTCTGCTGCGATGTGCTCAAAATCGGAGGCATCGGGGGACAGAGAAGCTTTGGTAACATCGCTGCTCGAAGAGCCCGATGTCCGTAATACATTTCCGTGTCTGCTGTTTGCAAACTCCTCAATATCCCTGGACAACTGATGCCCCGTCGGGCTGCCGAAGCTTGACTCCTGAGTTAGGGACGTCGGGCAGCTGCTGTCCCCGATGTGACTCACGCCCCCCTCTGAATTTGGGGAATGCTCCAGGTAAGTCAGTTTCTCCCTCAAGGCCCGGTTCTCCTCCTCAAGCTCTGCAAGTTCTTTCTGGAAACTCTTGTTTTTCTCCTCTAGAGTGCGTATCAGGGGTTCTGAGTCACCCGGCGAGGAGGAGGTTCCGTCTGGGCTGATGTCTGAAGCCTCAGCTCCTTCAGCGCCTGGAGTCCTTTTCTCCTTGCATTTCTTCAGTTCACTTCGAAGCCTGTTAATTTCACTGTCTTTTGCTTTGGCTTCTGCGAGAAGTTCCCGAACCTGGGACTCGAGCACGGCCTTCTCCCCGCCTTCAGGCTCTTGCTTGGGTCTTGTGGAAGTGGTCCTCAGGTGCTTAGTAGGGGTGGGCGTGCTGGAAGAAGTTGGACTGGACACTGGCTTCCTGGGGTTGGAGGGACCGCGTGGCACGGTTCTCTCCCTCGAGACAGTTGCTGAAAGTTCTCGAGGAGCTGGAATGCCCGTCCGTTTGGTTGTTGGCACAGCCCCTAAGGACAGAGGAGTAGAAACCAATGAAGCAAGGCAAGTACTTTTATACATGAAACCCAAGTGACTTCAAGTCACGTGGGTTAGTGAAGAGGGCAGCTGTTGCCCTTTACTCATGCCCCCCACACCCCGGCTCTGGATAAGTATTTGGGTCTGGCTGTGTTTCTGTGCCTCCTCCCACAGCCCTATATTTTGGGGGAAGCTGGACTCCAAGCCTGAGCTCCTCATAACTACATCCCAGCACAGTTGCTGGTTCAAGGCAGGTTTCTGGGTGAAACAGCAGGAGAGGGTTGAGTCATATAAAGTCTGGGAATGGCTGCCACCTCTTGTCATCACAAGAGGAAGAGAACGCAGAGTACACAAAGAAGGAAACCGAATTCTTAGTAGCACCGTGGAGTTACCCAATCTGTCAACCCTGGAGCTTAGCCTAGAGCCAGCAGTTCCAATGACACAAACCAATAAATACCCTTCATTCACGGCACTGTTAATTGGGTTTTCTGTAACTTGCAGCTTAATGCGTTTGAACCGTAACCTTGGCAACTGAACAGCCTCCCGACAAAATGCAAGTTCATCTTGAATTTTTTAAATTTTTTTTTTTAAATTCACCAACATCTTCTGAATGAGCACGAATTGGACTGAGAAATCACGACACACAAATAATACCACGTTAAGACTAATCTAACCCAGTGGCACGCTGCTTTAATCACAGGTGGCAAAGGTGTGCTTATTTGTATCCAGAGAAACAAGAGTAAACGGAGCAGGGCCACCTTGCATGCATCTGTGGTACAGTTTTCAATGTTAAAGGGATTTACATAGTACGGAAGTGATACAGATCTTTAATGGGAAATGTAAGTAAGGAACTGTTTTCTATTTTGGTCTATACTACATTACAATATTAAAATAAATTCTGGGGCTGAAATCCCAGACATCAATCTCTTATATGCCTCAACCCACCTCAGAGGTTAGCGTGTAAATGAACATTTTGAACCTATTTTTACAAACTGGAAGACCCCTGATGAATGGAGGCTGACTGCTGTGACTTACCTAACTAACTCTGCACGTTGTGTTGAAGGTCTCCAGTAACAAAGGACCCTAGAAGGAGTCACCAATTCCCAGGGCTCCAAAAGGGAGAAAGTGGCGGGGGGATGCCCGCACAGACTGGCAGCAGCCACAGTCCACAAGCACGGAGCAGAGCCCAGCGTGGCACAGGAGCTCTAAGCCTGTGGCCAGGACGCGACTAAGGAGCACCTGTGGATCTGAGCATCCTGAAACGGGAGGTGATGATGTGAAGGCCAATGCCATTCACTGCTGCGACTAACAGTCAAGTGCCCTTGAAAACTCGGAAATAAAGGCTAAACTGGGGACACCTGGGTGGCTCAGTTGGGTGGGCGGTGGACTTGATTCTGGCTCAGGTCATAATCTCAGGGTCCTGTGACCCAGCCCTGCATGTTCTCGGGCTCTGCACTCAGCAGGGAGTCTGCTTCACCCTCTGCCCCTCCCCCTGCTCTCTTTTAAATGCTCTCTCCTTTTAAAAAAAGATTTTACTTATTTATTTGACAGAGAGAGAGCACAAGCAGGGGGATGGGAGAGGAAGAAACAGGCTCCCCACTGAGCAGGGAGACCTATGCAGCTCGATCCCAGGACCCTGGGATCATGACCTGAGCTGAAGGCAGATGCTTAACGACTGAGCCACCCAGGCACCCCAGTAAATAAAATCTTTAAAAATAAAAAAGAAGTTAAGCTATCATACTAATATACAGAAAAACTATGGTTTTTACAGTAACTTTTCAAACTAAGTTACTGGAGAGCTAAGACTACTATGATACACACTTAGTACTTTTGGCTGTCTGACTTGCACCCTACTTAATGGAGAAAACACTCGGGGAACAAAAGATTTATTTAATTATTCTTGTAAAATGAAGATCGCAATCACTCAGCAATAAAATGTTTTAGTAATGCTGGATTAGGTAATCCTGATGATGCCAAGGGCCCCTAAGGTCAACGGAAGATGGGAGTCCAGTTTTGGCAAAAGTGTCGTCAGAACAGCCGGGAGGATCCGGAACTGGTCATCACAGAGCCGCTGGCCCTTCTGTATACAGACACTGAAACTAAGGCTCCTTTTCGACCGTTTGTTGGACGGGCAGGCCTCAAACTGCACAACAGATCAGCTCTGTCATCATTTCCAGCCCTAGGGGACTCCGCCCTCTGCTGCCAAATCTTAGTTTATTCTCCACATAGGTGTTACTACTTGCACCTTACCTAAACCGAGAGGAATTTTTTAATGTCAAAATACATTTGTGAAAGACATCCAGCTGTGTGTTATGAAATACACAATCCAGTCGTATTTGTTACTACATCTGTTCTTTTTCTGTAATCCCTTCTGACACCTCATCAGCACCGAAGGAAGTCACTGGTATGACTGTTTTCCTAAGTTGCTTTTTTTTTTTTTTAAAGGTTCTTCCCAGCTTTGTACGCATCATTTCCAAAACTGTAATTACCAGAGGTTAAGTGTAGAGGGTGGCAAAAATTCACTGGGGGACCAGACTAAGGTTGGTGCGTGGCGGCTCACCGCCCCATGCAGCGCAGGTGTCCCTCGTCCTGGACGCAAAGGGTGAGTCCTATTGCTCAGAATGCAGTCAGTCAGAGGCTCTACGACTCTGTCCACCTCAAGTACTGTGAGTAAAGACACCTCACTGCTAGGGCGCTTGGGGGCCTCGGTTGGGCAACTGTTTTCGATTCAGGTCATGATCCCAGAGACCCAGATTCAAGTCCTGCATGAGGCTCCCAGCTCAGCAGGGAGTCTACTTCTCCCTCTGACCCTCCTCCACTCTTTCTCTCCCACTCTCTCTCTCAAATAAATAAATAAGATCCTAAAAAAAAAAAAAAAGCCTCATTGCTAAGCATTACGTCCTGGAACCCTGAAAAGGGGCACAGCTCCTGACACATACACCGTGGCAAGGGGGGCAGAGAGGCGGCCGGAAGCCTGGGGCTGATGGAACAGGGACCGCTTGGCTGGCACTCTTACTTCTTGGACCTTTTCCCCATCCTCACACCAGACCATCACTTATTCCTACTGAGGCTGGCTGTCAAACTACATGAATTTAAAATAAAAGCAAGCTCCACCTCATAATTGGGAAGACTAATATGATTTTTTTTAAAGATTTTATTTATTTATTTGACAGAGACAGCAAGAGAGGGAACACAAGCAGGGGGAGTGGGAGAGGGAGAAGCAGGCTCTCCACAGAGCAGGGAGCCCAATGCGGGGCTCGATCCCAGGATGCTGGGATCATGACCTGAGTTGAAGGCAGACGCTTAATGACTGAGCCACCCAGGTGCCCCTTATATGTTACATTCTAAAATGCCAAATGGGGGCGCCTGGGTGGCTCAGTGGGTTAAGCCTCTGCCTTTGGCTCAGGTCATGATCTCAGAGTCCTGGGATCGAGCCCCGCATCAGGCTCTCTGCTCTCTAGGGGAGCCTGCTTCCTCCTCTCTCTCTGCCTGCCTCTCTGCCTGCTTGTGATCTCTCTGTCAAATAAATAAATAAAATCTTTAAAAAAAAATAAAAAAATAAAATGCCAAATGAAGGGTATCTGGATGGCTCAGTCAGTTAAGCATCCACCTTCGGCTAAGGTAATGATCTCAGGGTCCTGGGAACGAGTCCCGCATTGGGCTCTCTGCTCAGCTGGGAGCTTTCTTCCTCTCCCTTTGCCCCTCTCCCTGCTTGTGCTCTCTTGATCACTCTCTCTGAAATAAATTTTAAAAAATCTTTAAAAGAAAAATATATTTAAACATCCTCCCCCCTCTCTTTTTTGGTAACCACCCAAAACCTAAAACCCTAAAACCTGCTGTTCCTGGAAATGTTTCCATATTTTTGCTTTGTTTTCCTTTTGGTATGGATCCAGTCGAGGTCCTTAAGAATGCTTCATCTAAATGTCTGAACTGTCCTCACAGGAACTCCTGATTCCAGTCTCTCCCAGCTTGGAGACCTAATGGACCAATATGACTTAAACATCTTGCTTCCTATTCTGTTCTAGAATCTGTAAGCATTTCCCCCCTACCCCCACCCCACCCGCCGGATGCATCAATGTCAAACTTCTTCCCTGGACTTTCAGGGTCAGGCATAATAGTGTCCAAATCAACATATCCAACCTTTTCATTTTAGGGTTGTTTTTCCTCCTCCCAACATACCTATTTAACCCATTCAATGTCCCCAATATATCTATGGTTTATTGAAATAGCATTTCCTTTCCACTGGATCCTTCTAATGGGCATTTAAACATACTTAACTCTCAATTACAAAAAAAAAAAAAAAAAAAAAAAAAAATCTGGGGCCCCCGACTGGCTCAGTCAGTAGAGCATGTGACTCTTGATCTTGTGGTTACGAGTTCAAGCCCCAAGTTGAGTGTAGAGATTGTTTAAAAATAAAAGCTTTTAACAAAAGAAATCTGGAATCCACATCGTCCTCCAGCTAATATCTGATCTTGTTTACTGGTTGTCTTCCATTCTTCCCCTGTCATTCGCTCCCCTACCCACTGCCATTACTCAACCGAAACCCTATCTGCTAAGGCCATCGGCGACCTCCACGTGGGCCAACACAACAGACATCATCAGTCCTCTCAGCAGAGCTGGCACAACTCCCTCCTTTCTGAAGCACACCTCTGATGTCCCACTCTCCGGTTTCTCTCTTAACCCAGCAGCGGTCCTCTGTCTCTTCCTTTGCTGGCTCCTCCTCCTCTCTCTGCTTCTATTTGTCAGAAGCTTCAGACCTATGTCCTGAGCCTTTTTTCTTCTTTTATTACAAATTATTTTCCTGGTGATTCTACTCCATCTCATGATCTTAAAATACCACCTATATACTGATGATTCCCTAATTGGGCTCTTATATGAACCTCTTATCTGAGCAACAGATCTGAATATCAAACTACCTACTCGATCAGCATAAGTGAATTATAACAAAAGTACCTCTAGTTTGGATTAAAGGCATACGGGTAGATTAAGAAAG